TCACTGACCTCGGCCGCGCGGCCTTGGCGGGGTCACTGACCTCGGCCGCGCGGCCTTGGTAGGGAGGGGTCACTGACCTCGGGCGCGCGGCCTTGGTTGAGTTTGATTTTCATGCGTTATTTCTGACATCTCTCATATGTACATCATGTGTATTATATTGTTTGTAGAACGTATATATTAGCTGTCATTGTGGTGACAGGTAAAGTTCACTCACACTACACGTTAAAATAAAAGCAATAATAGCGTGCGCGTAGCGCGCGCTTGTGTTGTGCCAGTCGATATTTCAAATTGTGTGTGGCATCGAAGATACACGATATCAAATACATTTTCCTCATTAGTATTTCCTCTCATTGTGTACGAATAATGTCTCTGAATCTCGTTATTGTTCTTGATCTTTAAAATATGTATTTTCTTGAGTAAATGCCGATACTCTGTTTTTTTTTTGTTTTTTTTATTGAAGTTTTACTTTAATTTTCTAATACATTAAAAAAGATTTTACGATATTGATACGTTATACTTTTAAGTCTGAGAATCTCATGAAGTGATCGTATTACTCGAGTTCGCAATATCCGAACTTATAATTGTATGTAAAATACGATAATTGGTCCACCTTGACGGAGAATAGGCAATGCTTAGTTCTGTATTAATTGAATTTTGGTTTACATTAAATGCGACGACCTGGTATTGTACAATCCGTATTAAATCAAATATCGCATTATTCGCGACCTAGCTGCATTTGAAATTAATTTTGGAACAAAACGCGCGTGTGTATTAGTGTGTGTGTATAATTAAAAGTTAAATAAAAAAAAATACGTAAGATTTTGTTTTCACTAATATCTTTATTAACATAATTCTCATTGCAAATATATGTTTTATAATATAAACTGTGTAAGTTGGACAAAACGACGGACAAAATACTCTTGACAATAAAGTTTGTTAAAGTTTATTAGAAAAAAAAAAAAGAGAAAAGTGAGCAGCACGAGAACAAACGAATTATGGATTTTTTCACTTTATAAGTTTTCAGCAAATTCTTCGATGTCGTAGACGAAAACAAGTGGGAAACAAAATCACTTGCACTGTCAAAGTGTATATTGCGGGGAAATATCTAGCTATCAGTGGTATCTGAAAATTCTCGCATGAAATCCACAAGGATTTCACCGCGATTGTGATCGTGGCGTGAAGATTGTCCTCTTCGCGGATCATCTAAATCTTCTGTCTTACATCGTATGTACATATGTATCTTTCCAAGTCCTTGTGCTGTACGGAAAGATAATGCAATTCTTTAATTCTACTGACACAATACAAAAGTGCGATTTCCATAATTAACACTTAAAATAAACATGACAACCTTATTCTTATCCAAGACAGAAACGCAATTGAAAGAGAAAAGTTATACTAAGGAATCGGACTCGAGATATAAAAGGAAATATCCTCCTTTCGCTGATGGTAATGTGTGCGCAATGCAAACGCGTGCGGCAATCTACTAAAGGATCTTTCCAAATGCACCCGACTTTTTCCAATTCGCGAAAACGGCGAAAACGATGGGTCATGGCGGTGGTTGCAGCGATCCACATCGGTAGGAAAGTGGTCAAAGACCTATACAAAGACCGTCGAGTAATTTCGCCTGGCTGCACCCAAAAGTCTTCATCGCAGGACGATTCGCAGATTGCAGTGCTCGGTCGCGATGGCAAGGATCAGGCCCCCGATGAAGACCACGATGGCGTCTTTCACGTAACATGTTTCGTGCGTACTGGAAATGCCCAGTATTGGAAACGACGCCACGGGTAAAAACGCAATTACTTTTTTTGGGAAGACACTTCGTCATCCTGTAGCCAATCATCAACGTGCGATATGCAATAGACGATTCGTAAGATACACACGACCTTAAAATAAGAGTTGCGAGTGTCGCTTTTAGAAGGTGTCGTTTCACAGCGAATCGAATCGAAAGCTAAAGGTATCCAAAACAAAATCCAAACGATAACGAAGATAATTCGCCAATATGTCAGAGTCGTTGCATAAAAGTCAATTGCGGTGAAAGAACCGCGAGTCGATGCGATGAAATGCAGTTGTTTGAAATCTCGCGTCCGCGTGCTTAAAAGTATTACGGAATTTAATCTCTCAATCGTACATTTTATATATACATATATATCGAGATGGAGGTTAAATATAAAACGTTGTTGGATATTGAAATTAACATCGTTACTTCGCGCGATTACTTCAGAGAGAAAGAGAAGTTTTTGCGTATCGGCGGGACGTCACTGTCAATCTATGTGTATTCAATTTCTGTTTGATAAATTTGTGAGCGTTCGAATAATAACTCCCTGGCAAGAAACCAGGGTAAGATAAAACCAGGTTTAAAACGCCAGGGGCGATTACTCTCGCGAAAATTTGCAACAGGTTTCGTCAGAGTTATTTTCGCGCGTAAGGATGACGCGGGAACGTAACGTCTTTCGCCGCGTTTCGATCACTCCAGACTTTATTTTCGAGCGCCTCCTCCTTTTTATTCCTAAATTAAAGTTTTGCGCTGCGTAAAAAAACAACATTTTTCAAAATTTGAATTTTCAACGCTAATTGGTACATTATAACTCGGCGTGCGTTGTATCAGCGTGTTTAAAGCTGTCGTGTCAATATTTGAAGTCTTATTTGCAGCTTTTTTCCGAAATCGGTCTCTATTTACAATATTATTCCTCTATGTATTACGATACGCAAAATTGCACACAAGAAAAATATACATATTTTTGCTAATATTGCAAAATATATACGCCAAAACGGAAGGAGGAAAGAGGGGGAATTTAATGTCACGCTCGTTAAATATGCAACCCCATCGATAACGGGCTTCGCTGCATGCGAGATACAATTTTGTTTTTAATAATTCAGCGTTATATACCGCGAAACGAAATGTTGCATTGCCGGTCTGTGTTTATTCTACACGCGCTCTGTCGCTTGATTTAATTTTCGAGCAAACATCGCCGCAATATAATAAACGATAAATTTAAAATACTAGCTCAGCGATAATAAATGTAATAAACTTCATCTCACGTTTCAAAATTTATCGGACACTTTGCGCGATATAAAAATAAGAGTCAATAAAAAAGCGAACGACGTATGAAACATATATATTTTTGCGTACAAAAAATCTCGTAAGAACAGTTGATTTTGACGAAATCCTCACCGTTACAACGTTGCTAACGCTATTTTCCTCTGCGACGCTTCTCGATTTCGCTCAAGGTAAACCGAAAGCGCCTACTGTAAACCAGATTTCTTTCCCCACCGAGCATGTCAGGCCGAAGCAAGCCACTTCAAAGCGCGATTCCTCAAAGGACTCAGTCCTCCCCTAATTTCATCCACAGCAGATTCTCCCTAGTTACGGCCCTGTCGAGACAGAGGAGGACGAGGGATGCTGATTCATCGGGAGTGCCCTAGACTGGCTGATTCACAAGGCGAACAGCGCGGGGGATAGTAAGTAGAAAGTAGGGACTAGGGAGGAAGAGGAAAATGCAAAATACAAGAAGAAAAAAATGACGCACCCTCCGACGGATGCAAGCGTAATGGAAAAATCCGTGGAAAAAGGGAGACAACAAGCGAACGGAGCTACAGGGGAATACGCGGGAGACGGGGAGTAGCTTGGAAAAATGGATGGAAATGGGTAGAATAGGGTGGCTCGAGAGAATTGACTATGTCCGGAGAGGGACAAAAATGCCGGCTGTTAGAAATGCTAGAAAGGGATAGTGCTGCGTGAGCGCATAGGTGTAGGTTACCTGCGAGATTCTCATTAATTAATTTACGTGCGAAGTGCTTCTTTTTATATTATGAGAAGAGGAAGGGGAAAAAGAGAAAAAAATAACAGTTCCAGAATTATATATTTATTTGTTATATAAAACATTTTTCCGCGCGATTTTCTGTTTTAATTTACAATATTTCACATTTTAAACTTTTGTAAGTTTTTAGTTTTGCAATTTTATATATTTTTACGTACAAAGTTGCGTGTGTTATTGTATAATTTTCAGAAAATCGGTTTCTTTCATATTGTCAGAACATTTCTGCTTGTTCGAAATTCGGAATAGGATGACTGGGCGCCGCCGTCGCTGGCGGGGGATGTTCATAAGCGAGAGAAAGAGAGGGATAAAGAGAAGGGTAGTTCTCCAACTTCCCTCACGCGTCGCGGCGTGGCGCGCCGCCGTTTCTGGGTTCGGTCTGCATTGCGCATTCACGAGACAGGCGCATCGCGGCGGCACCCGTCGTCGCGCTTTCGTCGTCGCCGTCGTCGTGGTGGTCGTCGCCGTCGGTCGCCGTGGATGCCGCTATCGAGTCAGTTTCGGCGGCGTCCTTGATAAGGAACCAGCGCTCTCACAGGCGAAAGCCAAACGGTATCGAGCAAAGATCCGGAGGTTCGATCCGCGAGGAAACCACAGGCAAACAAAATACGACGCTCGATTTCTTCGTTGAGGAAACGGTAAGCGAAAAACTTCCGATTTCCAAAAACCAAAATTGGGGGATTAGCGTTCGAGATAATTTGCGCTCGAGAACCTTTGGGAAAATCCTCGCTCGATTTAACTTGAACCTTTTCGCGTGCTCGACTCACAGTTGTCGGGCTTTGTCTTTCAGGCAATCGTATTAGGCAGATCATCGCATCATCGGATTCATGACTGAACGTGTGCGTGATTAAAGAATCTAAATCGATGTCAGCTTTCGGATAAGATCGTGAACAATTTCTATCGCAATGCTATGCGCGAGTAATATGTCTACTTGCGTAGCATATCTGGATAGGAATAAAAATATAAGAAACTCCTTCAAAAAATCATCGTAAACATGAATTCTTTATACACAAGTTTTATTTATTGTATATCTCAAATTTATCGGTCAGCAAAACTCGAAAAGCGTATTTGCGCCTTCTGCGCACACAGAAAATTTCATCAAGAACAACTTGAAAAATTGCTATTCTTCTTCAAAGTTTGCAGCAAGAAATTGCGTTTAGCTTCGAAACTAGTTTACCGCATGTGTGTGGCATGTATTAACAATCATCGCGCATCATTCATGAATTCTCAGTCCTAGATATGGTGGGACGTACGGAGTCAACCTAGATTCGGATATAAATACGGCGAAGATGAATATTTTGTCAAGAATTACAAAAAAATATAAAAAGTAATTATAAAAAAAAATTAGTGTATCGCAAATATCGTTGAAGTTTTGAACTTGCAAATGTTCATCTCTTATATACAAACGTTGCTGTCGAAGAGAATTGTGTGTACAAATGTTTTTTTTTTTTTTTTCTGTATTCACAATTCACTTTAAAAGTATCAGCAAGAGAAGTACATTTCGTTACGAGTTTTACGCAGCTTTTCATTGAATTACGTCGGGGATATAGTGTTAAATAAATTATCAAGCGCTGCTTGAGAGATTCCAGTAAAATCCTCTCTCTCTTGTCTCCGGACAATGTTACCGTCAGATATTAAACTTCCTTTGTGTAATAAAGTATATTACACATCTCGAGTTATAATTACGTTGCTTACGTAGGCGCGCACTTTGTTGAGCTTAACCACTTCAAAAGCCGCTCGGTCAATAACCTGTACAATATTGCTATCAAACTCTGAAACACCTGCTGTTATTATCGGTTTTTCCGCATACAGTCAATTGGATTTTAATATCGGAAATGTAGATTAGTGATTTTGCTGATTTCAATTATGTTACGATTTTGTTTTTCCGACAAATGTTATATATATATATCGATATTAGAACTTTGTTTTAAGGTCAATTATAATAAATGATTTGTTTTTATATATATAATACATTAATGTGTGTGTGTGTGTGTACTAAGTTTATTTTGAAGTTATTATATTAATATAGCGCGATATTACAAATGTATATATATGTTATACGAAGCACAAAAACCAATAATTAAATCCAAAGTTGTGTCGGAAATTGTTGCGATGATGAGAACGGTTACAACTTGAATTGCACGAAGGTGCTAACGTCAGAAAACCAATTAACCATCATCACCATGGTGTACAACACAGCTTTGTTTATTGTACAGCTATTATTCCAAACGGCAGTTTGCCGCAAATTACCGGATCACAACTTTTCCCTCCCATTGTATCGAAATACTTCGCGGCAATTACACAATGTTACCTCGCAGCAGCTACGTTCGATCGAGATAGAGAAAAAGAGAGAGAGAGAGAGAGAGAGAGAGAGAGAGAGAGAGAGACTCTGTTTTTCTTTTTCAAAACTTCACAATTACTCCGACGACAATAGCATTGTGCTCCCGACAATTTTCTCCCCCGTTCACCATTCACAAGTTCATTAAACGCGAAGCGCTGACGCTTTTGTCGCGAGGCAGCTCGTCGTTAGGCAGAGCGCGCGGAGATGCAACCACTATTTATCACGATTAAGACAACGAAAAACTGTCGGGAGATTTTTATCTGCGCGGGGATGTGGAGAGACGAGAGAGAGAGAGAGAGAGAGAGAGAGAGAGAGAGAGAGAGAGAGAGAGAAAAACTTAGAAAGCTTCGACCAGTCAATTGGATTGTGTGATCCTAAACGATCGCAGCGGACCGCAAATGACAGCCATTGCGTTTTGCAGTTCCGAAGTAGAGACGTCAGCTGCGGCGGCGACGCTAAGCCCTTCAGACTCCATGACTCTAAGTGAGTTCCGGGTCTCTGGAGAACAATGGAACATAACACTGTATATATATATATATATACACACATACATACATACATACATACATACATATATATGGTGCTGGTGATGTTTAGAAGAACCCGCGGGAACGGGTGGATGGCTAGAATTCGAGCCGAGCTACTCCCTCGCGGCGGGATGGGTAACCGAGCTTTTATCCATTACACCGCGACATAGCCCGCGATATTGCACTACCCGCCACCGCTATTATCGCTTTGCATCGGCGTTCCCGATGTAACGCCATTAGAGTTGCCACATAATTCTCTTTCTCCCCCCTCTCTCTCTCTCTCTCTCTCTCTCGTTGGAGTACGTGCGCGCTTTGGTGGTGCCGCATTACATTTTGCTCGGCGACTTTTTTCTTCTGCAATTATAGAAAAATACCGCTTGTATTTCGAAGGAACGTATCGGCAATTATAGAAATAATTTAGTCAATAAAGGATAAAGATCGATCGATAATCTTAAGTTGAAACAGTTATGAAAAATTGATGTGCGATCTTATTTTAACTCAACCTGTATGTTACACCGGCCGCGTTTCATGGCTGACTTTAGAACCGCGATATACGTTCAGTTAGCAACTCGCTTACTTCTCTTCCCTCTTTCCCTCTCTCTCTCTGTCTCTCTTTCTGTTTATATAATATATATATATATATATATATATATATATATATTCTTCGAGTCAGAGAGGTAACGACGAAGATGAGATGATGCAGCGCGCGCCCGAGATCGCGCGCGGTAGGAAGATGCGTTGCGAGCGGACAACGAGAAGCCGAGAGACAAGAACGGGAGAGGACGAGAAAGAGAGAGAGTAAGAGAGGGTCGGTTGTTCAGGTATATACATATACCTGTCTACATAGTTACGCGGGCTCTCTCTCCGTGTATGTGGTATATACACGGAGAGGGCGACAGGCGCCACGATATCGATCCCACGCAATATCGCGCGCCTCGGGTCCGTGTTTCCGACGGCGGCGGGCGTACCGACGCCCGGCGCGCGTCCCTCGTGTTCCACTTGCTCCGGCTAGTACAACCACCGATACAGGCGCACACAAATTTATCGCGAAGCGTTTTCGTATCGGTGTGTGTGTGTCACGACGAGATAACACACACACACACGTACGTATGTGCGCGCGCGCGCGAACGTTCATATGCGCACGGCCGTGTACTACGCGTCACGCCGGTCTTTATTAAAACGTTTCATCAACCCAACAGGCCTGCCTTGTAGATTCACCGATAGCCGATGCTTGTTCGATTCGGAACGGGATGCGATCGATTGCACGCGCGGCATGAGCCCCCCCGTCCACGCGGTGTCCCGGTAAAGGTAAACAGCGATGAATCAGACGCGTGGGTTTTTATACAAGTCAGAGAAAAAGAGACGTGGAGAAAGAGAGAGAGAGAGAGAGAGAGAGAGAGAGAGAGAGAGAGAGAGAGAGAAAGAGAGCGGAAGAGGAGCAAAATTGTTTGATATCAAAACTGATGAAACAGAAACTTTAATAGTGTTCGATGACAGGAAAATCACCGTCTGCGGAAGGTTTTGAAAACACAACGAGTTACACGAGAACTGATAATGAAGCGATAACAATATAATTTACTTGTGTTATAATCGAGTCAAAACGTGTTTGAGGTCTCTCTAAAAATATTTTAAATTTCTATTTTGATGTAATTGAAATCGAATCCTTTTCTCTTACTGAAATGTCTCCACATCAAGTGCATCTAAAACTGTATCAAACGTTCATCAACCGTATACGCGTTTTGTATAGTAATGCACCCTGTAATGCACGGCATGTCGACAGATGGAAGACCGATGTAATCCCGAGCTCACTGACGTCGATGTTTGAAGGTATCAGTCTCGCGCAAACGTCGAGCTAATCTCAATTAACGGCTCGATTTGACGTTGATCATGATTAGTTGGCACGAGCAGTTCTGCCGGATAATTATCGTCCCCGGAAATGGACGCTGTCGACGTGTGTGATTCACGTCGCGGAGAGAGGCAGGAGGGGTGCGCGCAAATGCGCACCACTCCCCAATACTCGTCCGTTTCTGTTCCTTATTCTAGGTTTGTCCACGATACGAAAAAGTTTAACGAAACACGCGAGAAAGTCGGGGTGCGAATGTTTAAATATTCATGGTATATTCTACGGAAAGACTCCGTCAAGTTTCTCTGCCGAAAGGTTCTGCCTTCGGTGCATGCATACCGAGTGGCACCGGGTTTCTTCGGGTGTTCGCGGTGACTTTTATCGCGGCACCTTTTGATTGCTTTGGGAAAAATGAAAAAACGAGACTTATACTTTCGTGTGTGTGTGTGTGTGTGTCGATTTAAAATGCGTCTCATGTACGAAATGGTCAGACCTAGTTACGCGCTTTTCAGCTTTACGACAATAATGCAATTCTCTCCCTCACGCTCGCAATACACGAATTATTTATTATAAGCTATATGTATATTAGTTTATAATAAATTTTTATATCAAGTTAAATCTTCGCAAGGAATCGCAATAAGGAATCAATTTGTGCTCTTACTTCGTAACAACAAGATCGATCTGCAGTTCAGATAATAGTTTATACGAAGTTCGGTCAAGAGATTCGGGAGTTCAAATCTTGACTATAACATCGGAATAGTTTGCTCGATCGATTTACCTCAAAGGTTTGACGAACTACCGAGATGTACTCTTTTCCTTTGAACAAAATTATCTTCAAAAACTTAAATTAATATACTTTGTACAAAACACGTTCCGATTCCGATAATTATTTGACTTTTCAGCAGTAACGTTCGGAACTCGTTCAAACGGAATGTGGGGAAGAGCAAATATGGTGGCTGTGACTCTTCTCTTAGGATGGTTTTGCATTTTCGGGCAAGGTACGTACGTCTCATTATCAGCGCACTTTAATATCGTGAGAATAATTTGTGAAAAAGCAACGCTCTCTATCTATATAAATATTTATCTAAAAACTCGTCGTGACAAGAATTTTTGCGATCGTCACAGCGAGCAACGCCGAGGTGACATCCGCCGATATCGAAGCGGAGACCATCCTTGAACGAGCGGCCACGTGGCTATGGGGTCAACGGGACAAGGACGCCGGTTGGGGTAACGACACGCATCAAGTGCTGCTGGTCCTTCGTCTAGCCAATCTCTCACGAGACGACAATGTCGCGCCGCCGGCGCCACTCGAGTTGCAGCTCACCGCCAAGCAAATGGAACTGGAAATCGTGCTTTTGCTTTGGAGGTAGGTCCGCGTTATCGAATCGAATCGATCGATTCAGCACAGTTGGTGGTTCGAGGAAAAATTAATAACTTCAATATATATATATATATATATATATATATATATATATATATTGTAGTTCACAAAATATATTGTTGGAAAAAAAAAAAAAAGTATTACTCGCATGACAATAACTCAGCATTTACGAGAGCGGGACTATAGCTTTTCTCGAAGTGTGCGTGTCAGGCGCACAACGGACGTATACAATCAGAACAACTCTGCGGCGCTTTTCAGCGACCTAGAAAGTTCACGTACATAGGAAGAGATGGAACGGACACCTCGTCGCGCACGCCTTGACATTCTTTATCGTCAAGTTATCGGTGTGTGTTATATAGACGCGCGCTGCGCGAGTTCAGCGTTTTCGCACGAAAAGAATTCTACTCTCTTCCCGCGAATATACACAACCGTGCCGAGACGATATCGTTTTCGCGCTATCGATTTTTCTGTCAAGAGTCCCGCAACTGGTCTCGACGCGTTTTGTTTATTATACATGTTGCCTTTTATCACAAAAAAAATATATTTTTCGTGACTGGCACGCGCGCGTACTGGAAAACTCATTTCGCAGCTACACGGTTCGCGCTGATATTACGTAAGTCGTCGTTACGTAAAACGCGCGCGCGCGCGCGAGCGCGCATACACACACATACAAATGCGTGAAAATTCGCTATCGCTTGTTTCGCAGACATCGAGAAATCGGATTTTCCCCGGTTCGATTGGCACGCTACACTCTGGCCTTGAACGCGATGTGCATGGACCCGAGACAATTCCACGGTCACGATCTGATCGGCACGCTGCAGCATCACGAACCACCGACGGATTACGAATTCGCGCTCACCACTTTGGCGGCGTGCAGCGCACAGGCTCACGTGCGCAAACGGCAGATACGTCGTCTCTTGGATATCGCGAATGCCGCGTTGGATCACAATGTCGGTGGGTTGAGAACTCGTTCAGGACTCCCTCGAACATATATGTTGTTCGAATCTTACGAATCCTAGATCCTAACATATTTAATCTTTGTTGTAACAAAATGACAATGTAAATGACAATTTGCGTAGACACGGTGGCGATGGTGATTCTGGCGATGCAGTGCATCGTCCAGGACCATCGACATCGCAATCTCCATCACTTCATGCGCAAACCGTCGATGGGACTGGCGCAGCAGCAGAGGCTCGACGGCAGTTTCGGCGATCTGCACACCACCGCTCTGGTGATGCAGGCGTTGGAGGAGGTGGAGAACGAGCCGGCCGACAATTGGAACCGATCCGCGGCTTTGACCTGGCTGCTCGGCCAGCAGCGACCGGACGGCTCGTTCCACGGTGACGTGCGAGCCACCGCCGAGGCGATGTTGGGCGTCGCGCCGCGCGGATTGGCCAGCATTCGAGCGCTTGACTGCGGGCAAGGTCTAGCGGACACCTCGCCACCCCGTCTGACCACGAGCAACAGTAAATTGTTCATTTGTTACCTAAAGAAACTCGCACAAAGACGAACTTGCTTTTCTCTGTCGCAAAACAAAACGAACGAATGAAATAAAATGATATTTTTTTCACCTACGAGTTGCAGACGTCGGAACTTCCGACACTCACAACGAGACCGCTGTGTCGTCGGAAGCGTCGGGAGGTAACACCAGCAACGTGGACATCACGGTCGCGAGCACCGCGACCCCGGTGCTGGTGAACGTGTCGTACACCCTGTGGGTCGGCAGCAACGTGAACGAGACGTACAATCTGACGGTGACCGCGCCCAAGAACGAGACCTTCTACGGCGTGATGCTGCTCGCGGCGGAGATGTCGCCCCACTTCCAGTTCACCGCGTCCGAATGGCCTAACGGTCACTACGTTCACACGCTGGCCGGCTATAAAGAGGAACCGATGTCCTATCACTACTGGTTGCTTTATAGATTACCCTCCCCGCCGGAACCCTCCTCGCCGCCTGGAAATCAGTTGGTCGCGCCCGGAGGTACGACAAGAAGATTCTTAGATTTAAGGAAACGTTTATCTTGACGCTAAAAAAATGTCTACTTCTTGTTCGCAGGCGTCGACAATTTGCAGATCAGCGAAGGGGAACACTATCTCTTCTGGTACAAGAAGCTGTGAACTGTCTTGCGAGCGCGGCGAAGAGAAGCAAAATAAGAAAAAAGTAAACGAGAAGGCAACAACAAGAGGGAGGGAGTGAGAGATGGGAAGAGGGAGATATTTCGCAAGAAGCAAACAAGAGAGAGAGAGAGAGAGAGAGAGAAAGAGTGTGTGTGTGAGACTGTGCAAATGAGGGAGTGGAAGGAAGAGTGCGATCTCGAAGCTCTAGAGCGAGATCCAGTATTCACTGCCATCGCTAATTGTCGACACATAAGAAATACGCGCAACGCTAGGAAAAATGAAGATTAGGTGAAGAGAATATATACACATAGGTGCCATATGTACAATATAAATACATAAAAAAATAAAAATATACTCACACAAATACCCACACACATACACAGTTGGCAGTGGATTTTTGAAACTCCGTTCTAGTGGCTGACTTGGAGGATCCGATCGAAAGACGAGACACCATCGCGGTCTCGTTATCGACAAGCTCGGGGTCGATATCAACAATACACACATATACACATAGACGTCACTCGTTAACACGTTGAATATCGCGACACACAATGACGACATACATAAAATTTACGACAAAAAATCTAGAACTTCTAGGATAGTAGCGTTCGTTTTAGAATTTTCTGCGTTATTTGGACACAATAAGGTGACGGGGGCGACAAATTCCCGGCATCAGAGTTCGCGTGTAAAATGCAAAGCAGCGCTGTATTTTAGAAGAGGATCGCGTAGATGTTCTCTAGAGCCGAATTACACATTCGAGGAGCGAGGAAATTTTGCGCGCGGCGTTCAACGTGTTGACTCGATAAGCTGCGAAAAGCTACATAACGTTTTCTATGAGATTGCAATGCACAAGAAGCATAATTGTACTTATCGTAATTAATTCGTAACCCAATAAACCAAAAAACGAATAGCCGTAATTATTAGCGAAAAGTATTCCCGTTCCCGATGTTCCCGCGAGCCGGCTGTAACGTGTTAATTTAGACAAATATCCTCTGATAATTAAGGGGAAAAATAAACGACGAATAATAACTAAGTATAAGTAAGTAAATAAGCATAAATAAATAAATAAATAAATAAATAAATAAATAAATAAATTTGGCCTGCTGCTGCTGCTGCTGCTACTGTGCAACGTACTGTGTTCGACGAAGAAGAAGCCGCAGGATAAAAAACGCAATCATCGACGTCGTAATAATACTTTCGTTTGCGCGCGCACGTTGTATCTTGTTTAATCGAACAGTTCGAGTGCGATGTACACAATTTTGTTTTTTCTTCTTGAACACCTAATAAAGGAATCACACACACAATGAGATGTTGAACTTTCTTTTTTTTTCGCAAGTTCTTCGAAATAGCCTGATTACCCCAATTTCCAAAAACTGTTCGAGCGTACGATAAATTATATGTATCGTCTTTTTTTCTTACGTCACTGAAGTACATTTGAAAGAAATATATATATATATATATATAAACATATTTTTTTTGTCTCGAGTGATGTTATCTTTGTCCGATAACAAAACTGATTATCCACGAAACATGCGCATTATCTTCGATCTATAGAACCGAGCGAAACTACCGACATGCGCAACTACCGATAAGGTTTGACTAATCGATTTCGGCTCCAACCAAGGAAGATTTCAACTTCCTCTCAGAGACGGCGACACTAACACACTTCTGACATCGTATACGAATAAATTGTTTATTATTGTTGACGCAACTTTTACATGCAAATAAAAGAAAAGAGAAACACTTATCTCGAGTTTTACTTCTGTCACACTGCACGGTGTCGTTATCATTAATTTTGTTGTTCCTCGGACAACGATTCATCCGAACGACAATAGAACACTAAGGATTTATCTTCATGGTTCACGGGCGTATTGATGATTTCGACAAATCGCCGGTTCGACAAGTTTATCATGTACTTAAAAAACGTTTGCACGGATTTATTTTTAAGCATGTTGTGCGATACGTTGTTCGATCCATCTTGATTTTCATTTATCAAACATGCGGGTACTTAATTTATACATATCGCATCCATTAAACAAATATGCATGTACGTATATAATATATATTTATATTTTTGTCAAATAGTTTTGTTTTTTTATATTATTTCGAATGTTGAGAGAAAAATACCATAGTCCTCGTCGGGCGAGATGCTCGTGTGGCTGGACGCGAATCTTACTACTCTTTCTGAATCTTCGTAATTCTCGTCGTTTACATCTTCAAGTTGCGCAACATCGTTATCATAGGTTTCTGAAAAAATTTCAAAAACTTTTTGTGAACACCGTTATTTATTTCCTATACGAGAAAGATAATTCATCCGATATTTAATAAATTTATTGACGCAATGACGATTGTTTGTTTTCTCACAAATGAGACATACGTGTTAGTATGTCGCTTTCTTTTCGCGTTACAATTGTACTATAATCATTTTCGTGATTACGCAGTCGCGTCACAAAAATCTACAAGTCCTGCATATTCGTTTATTACACGATTATTTACTGATATTTTCGTACACACAGGTTTATATCGCGCCTGTTTGCACTTTTTGTTTTCCACCGCGGAGGTGGTCCCGGCAGTTTTGTCATTCGAGAATATAAAGTTACAGTTGCATAGACTCTGCGCGCGGAATGAGGATTTTATTTAAAATTACGTCACTGCGACTGACACAACCTTGGATGCTTTCCAAGATCCTCGTCTCTTTTTCTCGGAAAGCATCCGTCTACTTCCGGTGTCGATTCCGCGGAATTTTTTACCCAATCGTTTTCTGACGCTCATGACGCACATCAGGACGACGCGCGCTCTTTTTTCGAACGCATATCTCGCGCACAAAAACAAGAACTGACATTCACAAAAATATATACACACGTGCGCGCGTGTATATTTAAATTAGTATTTAATTAACCTCAAAATAATAAACGCAATATATTGCTTGTCATTTTGGAGAATACGCGAGAAATCTTGACAAAAGAACTGTGTTATAAAAAAAAACATTGCGCGCGCGCGTGATCGATGGCATCGATTTGGTTGACTGTTCGCGCACAGACACGGACTTCGGGCTCGCGCAAATTTGAGCCGCGGCGATCGCCGAAAGAGCACGGATGGTGCTTCGTTCGCAATATCTGAATTTCAAAGAGAGACGTATTCCGGAGGATATTGAAAATCGTCCGGGAAAGGGGAGGCAAAGTTGCACGAAGAGCGACGAACAGCTTGCTCTTCGATACGCGCGGCAAAGAGCGCGGGCGACTCGAAAGGACGTGGAGCGGACTACGTGTAAAGAGCGCGGCGACTCGACCGGTGTTGGCGCATCTCAAAAAGAGATTTTGCTGAAAACGGAAAATCTTTGACGGCGCGGCGCTCCGAAGGAGAGTTGCGAAAGAGTTGATGATAATCTCCGACGTACATTTATAAGCCTCTATCTTTTATAAACTCCGCGGTTTGCTTTTGCGCGAAACAGATTTTTCAAAGTCGCGAAATATCGGCGTCTCGCAAGTTGCGAAGAAACGGTGCGATGAAATCTCGTCGTCGACAACGACGTAGAAATGTGACAACAATTTTAATTGGCGACTATCGGTGTGTGTGTGTGTGTGTGCGTTGTCGCGAACTTTGAACTTTCGGAAAATAGTTACGCGACCACGCAACCGCGGAAAATCGATAACACGGCGATGGATGAGGACACCTCTCGTCGAGCGCGGTCCAACGTGTTAAATCGCAATATATTTCCCGATATCTATCTAAGAGCCATTTCAAGGAGCACAAGGACCGTTAGATCTCTCCGAAGAGTTTTCGTCATCATATTTTAATTTACCGTATCGCGATAAAGAAGATGCGGAAACGGTGCGATTTCTCGCCACGCCGCAGAGAATAGTTCGCGAATCGCGCTAATGACGAAGACAAACCACATCCTGTAAAATGGTTTTGTCGCGATCAGATGGAACAATGGTGAAGATATTCGAGGAAGAAACGATTCCGACTTCGATCGGTTCGACAAGAACCCTAGGCACAAAGACGCGAATTGAGCGCGAGATTCGCCAGTCTTCTTCGTGCTGCTTGAGACACAAATTAGACATTTATACAAGATATAACTATATAGAAAAAAGTTTTTTATGCACACCTCTAATAAAACATAAAAAATAAGTGTGTGATTTCGTTGCGTCATTTTTAAAGTACAATAAAACGCACTCTCTGTCTCTCTTGCGCGAGCAAAGTAGCGAATATATAAGTTTTCAAGACGAACGCGCGTATCTCTCACCGAGAACGCGAGCGAGAGGGGGGGGGTGCTAAAGACGCGGCCTCGCAGAGGATCGCGAGGGGAGTGAGGATTTGTGTGGGCGGTGCTCGCGTGTTTCGCGAGAAAGAAAAGCGCGGAAGTTCGGCGCGAGTCTCTCGGCGTAACAGGTGGTTAAACAGGGCTGTAAAGCAGCTCGCGAGCGACACGACGGGGGTGAATCGGGCAGGGAGTCGAGAGAAGGGTTAAAAAGGTCGGACTTTACGAAGTGCAGGCGCGAGAGATCGCGCGACTCCTCCCCCCCCCCCCTTTCCTTACGCTCGCGCAACATCGAGAGCGAATTAATTGCCCGAACGACGCGCTCGTTAATTATGATTATTATTGCAACAGGAAAAAAAAAATTTTGTTGAGTCAGAATGCGTGCGTATTGCACATCTCGCGAAAGTTCTTTCGTGTGCAAGTAAATACAATGACTTGACAAACAAAACAGATGTGGCTCTAAAAAAGCATTTAAGCGAAAAAATGATAAAGTCGTAAAAATAATAAATATGTAAATTACAAAAATTTACAAATCCTTATTCAAAAGAGAGAGAGAGAGAGAGAGAGAGTCTCAGAATTTCCCTGAATTTTCTAAACGCTATACGCATTTAACTTATCGATTACACGACATGACGCGGCAGCTCCATCGGTCGTAAAGCGCATTAGAAGTATCTCCATGAATCCCGCCACGACAAGCGCGTAGCGGTCTTAATTAATTCGATCCTGCAGCCCTTCCGTAGCCCGATGCCGTTTCCATCGTCGTCGGGAGAGAACACGGTCGCCCGGAGAAGAGGACGGGGCGGGCTTGTTCCGCGCGCGCCGCGGGCGACGAAAGGAAATTGGCTCGGCTCGGAGACGTCCTGCCTGGACGGAGTATCCTTAATACTGTAAAGTAAGTTTAATGGAGGATGCAGTCCCGCACCAACGCCCCTGTTAGGTGTTACAGAATATTGCGCGCCCTCGACTCGTCATTAAATAGCATAGTAATAAATATCTATATCACGTTACGCGCAAATGCTCCAATTAATGAAGATTTTAAATGCTTAAATATTAGTAATGTTTAAGGTGAGATGTGTGTGTCGCTATTAAACCTGACGAGTTTGTCACTTAAACAAAAATCGAAATTTGCGTTTTTTAATTAAATTTTACAATAGATTACGTAATATCTCTAGCTGTATTTATAAAAGCTGTATACACATGTGTACGTAAATTAACACATAAATCTATAACACGTATATATGAAATTATATATGAAAACGAGAGAAACACAATGAACTCGATCACTTTCAACAGTGGAAGCAAGTTGGAAACGTGGTGGAGAGGCTGAGAATCTGAAAACCTGCATTATTCGAAAAAAAAGGGGGGGGATGACGACGCGAAGGTAGCAAAATGAGCGCCACAGAACTGGTAATCACTGAGGGGAAAAGAGCGGTAAAGTAGGGTGGCTCGAGCAAGAGAGGAGGGTAAGAGAGTAAGAAGCGAGAGAGCACGATAAGGGCTGGGCCGGACAGTAGAGAGAAAGAACGGAGGGAGCTCATCAGACGCGTCAGTTGCCTCTGGCATCGCGCTTCGTCCCCTCGAGCTGTGCGTTCCCAGCATCTCCGGAGTCTTTTGCGACCCTTCCTTACATCGGCGCCCTCTTATTTCTCCCTCCTGCAATAGGTTCGTCGTTTTGTAGAGTGACGCTTGAATTTTTTATTTCTCATAATTTATTACTGTAGAAAGCGAGAGACCTGAAACGTTCGCGGGTATCGCACTTTCTTCAAGAATTTCTTATATCGCGCTCCGAACTTTTACCCTTTTATCAGAAAAAAATTTTCTCTCTATTGCAATTACGGGTGGATTAGTATTTACTTTTAACAAACAAAGTCTCTTCTTTCTATTCTCGTCGTTAGTCATTGAAATAATCCCCGATAGAATTATTACTTTTCTACCGCCGAAGGTAAAGAGGCTTCCAGAATTGTCCGGTTGCCAAGAGACCCGCTTCTCTCCGTGGAAAAAAGAATTTTCTCTCGTCTCTCTCGTCGTTAACCACGACGGCGATCATCGCGAGAGCTGCGCGGCGTAAGATCAAAGTGCAATCTAATCGTGTAATGGCCGGAGTATTAGGGTGGTCCGCTCCAGTCAGTTCCGCCGGTGGATGTTACGAGTGGGTAATTAAGGAGCACGATCAAGCGCGCCGCTCCTTATTACAAGTCGAGAGGATCGGCGCTCGCGGTGTGAATTCGCCTTGTTCATTTCTCGACGCCGCCGCCGCCGCCGCCGCCGATCTCACGAGAGATGCTAATTACTCTCTCCTCGGCTATATATGTATATACGAGGAGTTCGCTCTTTCAAGCTCACCGAATCCAACCTTCTGGGTTTTTTTGTATGTCAATTGGAAGGGGGCTGTAATCACAGGGTACGCAACGAGAAGCGTCCAAAGAGGGCGGAATATCTAATATTACGAAACAAACGGATCTATAAAAAAAAAAAAAAAAAAGATTCTCGTCTGCCGCGAGATGCGAAGATGAATAAAGACGGACGGACTCGCTTGTGGCATCAAATTCTCTCTCCCTCCCCCCCCCCAGCCCGAAAAAGAGATCTCTCTTCTTAAGCAAGTTAAATAACATATCTAAAATTAAATAAAAAATGAAACTTAATTTTCGTCGTAATACACAAAAAAGAAACTATTCTACACACAGTACATGTTCGAGATTCAACGACTCCACTTCTCTACAATAGAAGCAATTCTGGAAATTGGCCGTCATTGGCGGGTCTCTCTCTTTCTCTCTCTCTCTCCGGTAAGATAGTGCTCTCGTTTGTTCAGTGAACGATTTCAAAAATTGAGAAACCATCGAACCGGACCCGCTTCTGGATCGTTAGATACGCGTCGCGTAACGCGGACAAAAAGACAGTTAAGTATCGGTGATCGGCGCGCGCGGTACTTTTCCACGCATCTAATCATGTGCGCCTGTTACTTGCGTTTCTTTACGACCACACGTGTTCCACGAGGAAACTTTTTTCCCTCGCGCGAGATTAGATACGTGTATGCACCTGTGCACGCGTCTCTGTGCGCAATCGTCCGCTATATATACCGGATTTATATCGCGTGTTTATGGGGTTCTCCTAAATTTTACTCATCGAACCCTCTAAACTCCCTCATCGGCAGAAATAGCTGTTATTATCAACGCGATTCCACAAACGATTCTTCCTCGCGCGATCCATCGAACTCCGATATCTTATTATTATAGAAATTACTATTATAAGAATTACTCGATAAAAAAAAAAAAGAAAAACAGACAAAAATGTAATTCCGATATAGCGTATATGAGGGAACGTCTCTCTTCTGTTGAAATGTTTTTAAAAAACACAATGAAATACTGTCGGGCTTAATTTTGCAATTGAACAGTTAAACACGAACAGTTTTTGAAAACAACACACGAAACAGCATTTGCGCATTCATCTTTCGAGTGTGTCCTTGTTCAATATTGTTACTGAATAAAAAAAAAACACATCTCACACTACGCGCGCTGCGTTTCGGCATCAATCGCGCGCAACCGATCCTGCCGCATTCCACACCTGATTTTGACTCGGGATATATTGTCGAGAGTGTTCGCGCGCGATCCACACCTGCCATAATCAATCGAAATTGGCCGTGTGCTACTCACAGAGAGGTGGATGGCCGGTCTGGATCACAGCGCCCTGTGATCTGAGCGAGTTAATCGACGATGTCGGAACAATGATTATTGTTTGTTGCGCAGGTGCATCTGCGCTAAACAGGTAGCCGCCGTCATCTCGCTCTCTCCCCCAGAGACTTCTTTCAAATTTCCAAACTACCATTGGGAAGGAAGGACGGGCTCTCCGCCCTTTCTCGCTAAGCAGACTCTCGTTATCCGCCCGGGAGTTGCACGCGCACGTTCACTTCCCGGAGAGAGAACGTGGACGCAGTTTTCAATTTCACGACGTAATTAATTAAAGCGAAGAAGAAGGAAGAGAAAGAGAGAGAGAGAGAGAGAAAGAGAGAAAGAACGATGCAAACCAGGAAGAAGACGACAGTTCGTTTAATTGCTCGGTGAAGTGCGTGTCCGAATTTTCAACGAAGTCGCCACGAGTAAGTTTCTGTAAGTTTCGTTATTTTACACGTGTAACGACCCTTTATTTTTCTTTGCACTTCTATTATTTTTGCGAAAGTGTTCTATTAATTCTGTTTTTTTTTTTTTTTTTTTCGTGAGTGTCGAACGCAAAATCGTACTACTTGCCGCTTTTAAATTACGTCGTTCGATCGTGCTCGATTAATTGCCGCTCTTGCTCGAGATCGTATCTTGCAAGCGCGACGATTGATTGCTCAAAAGACGACCTCGCCGACAACGACGAAAGATGCTGACAGAGTAATACCGATAAGTATTGGTCGGAAAGAGACAGAGAGAAAAGGATAAGAGAGTTTGAAAGAAAGAAACAAAAACCACATAAAAAAAAAGAGAGAAAGAGAGAAACTGGAAGATGCGAAAGTTGCGATTGTCGCGAGAGACTAATCGGTCGGCCAGGGAGAACTGAAATTACACGTGCATTCTCGCATAAAATTTTGCAATAATCGTCTTTTAACGGTCGGTCAGATAGCTGACGAATGAGCGGGGAGACGACGGCGTATGCTAATGATGCGATTCAATTAGCGGTCGACAAAGTCGAGTCGAAATAAGAGAAAAAAGAAAACGCCACACTGATTCGCGGAGCTGTATACGACCTAAAAACGTGTAGCAGAAAGAGAGTTTCTCGTCTCTTCCTCTTTCTGCATTTGTAAAATTGTGCGACCTTAGATTTTTGTAAAATATTTTATAAAATTTTCTCAATCACACGTACAGACGCGCACATGCACGCACGCTTCGCGTTTGCTTGTACTCGCTCGAGTGCTCACGCGCAGATTCGCGTGAGCAGCTAATACGCGCGATATATATATATATATGTGTGTGCCGTCATTTTTGTAATATGACGCAATTAAGCTTTATTATCTCTAACATTTTAGTTACAAGAAGTCGTCGTTTTCTCTCTTATCGTCAAAAGCCGGACGACGTTCAAATATGCAAATCGCCGCGACGCCGCTAATCCGCAAATGGAACACGTCGTGCGTTGGCAAATGGAACGCGTCATGCGAATGCGAAAAAGTTTCGCTCGTCTCTCCCGCGGAGAAAATGTCAGAATCTCGTTGTTTCGATTCGTCGAATGCTCATTTAATTTTACTCACTTTTATTTACCTCATCGTTTCTCACACTTCGCGATATAAAACTGCGTGATAAACTCGTATCGCGATATGTAATATCGAGTCGAAATTGGATTAATCGCTAATTTGCATATCGATCCTATGTATGAAGAATTTTATACACACCTTTATTTTTAAAGTTAAAAACGCTAATTGCCATCGCGAGACAGCAAACACACACACACACACACACGCACGCACGCATACACGTACACACGGATTTCGTGCGTGCGTCTCTCATCTCGTGGATTAGATATATTAATAATGCAGAGTATTGCACCGCCTTCTCCTTGCAGAAGAGAAAAAGCACTGCGGCGCTACATACAATATGCATTAGACGAACGAAGAAGAGCCAGCGTATATATATATGTATATATATATATATACATATATATACGTATATATACCTACAGCGCGAGAGAAATTCCTTGTCTTGTTTTCGGGCAGAAGCCACCGACAATTTCACGAAATTTCAACGTCACCGTGAGAATCATTTCGAAGCACTTTCAGTGCGCAACAGAAAAATGTGTATATGTATATATATATATATATATATATATA